TGATTGAGGCGTGCAGACAAGTACTCCTGTGACAGAGACCTTCACCATTCTACCACATATATCAACACTTGACTCAGGTACTACATAGCATCGAGAAACAACTGTCAGAGTGGCAAATTGTTACCTCTAAATCATTTTCCTGCAGATATTGAAGACAGTGACGATGATTGGAGGTGGCTACATGTCCCAGACCAAGGTTATTAATATATTTTACACTAACCAATATTCAGGACATCCAGGTTTAGTGGATACTATAGACGTATTGACGCATGTGTTACACATCTATCTATCCCCAACAATAGGAACTAGACTACAGTCAGCTGCTCTGTCAGACAGCGAATCAGGACAGAAACGTTCAGGACAACGACTGAAACGTTCAGGACGTCCAGGTTTAGTGGATATATTGACACATGTTTTACACATCTATCCCACAACACTAGGAGCTAGACTGCAGTCAGCTGCTGCTCTGTCAGACAGCGAATCAGGACTGAAACGTTCAGGACAAGGACAGAAACATTCAGGCTCAGCACATGGTATAAGAGGTATAAATGTACAATCATTTTGCACCTTTAATTAGTTTACCCTACTCCTTCAGGGTCAAGTTCTTGATTTTTGAAGACATGCCAGCACCCTACAGCGTATAAGTGGGTGGAATGTGAAACCTGCAACTCCTGGTTCCACTGTATTTGCGTGTCAGTGAAGCCTAGCCAGGCGTCACAACCTACTTTCCACTTCAAGTGTTCATTTTGCAACTAATAAGCTTCGAGTGTTTATTTTGCAGAAGTTTTGTGGTGCATGTGCGTATGGGCGCTTAACTGCCCATAGTCCGAAAATAGAGGGCGTGACCCCGCACTTGGCTCGATCGCGAGCTGCTTCCTGCTGAATTTTGAAGAAACATAGATATGGCGTGTCTATAGAGGAAGGGTAGCTTTACATGTGCACTAGCTTTGGAATCTCCTCCGTCCTTTCTCAAAGTGTTGGTGGCGAGCGTCCGGAAATTGGTAACTTATCCCGATCTCTGGGGTTATCGGACGTTCACTTCGATCGTTCATAAAATCGTTTGTGTGTAACGCAGGACCGAGATTTCTCGGAAACCTAGCCCACGTGTACCTGTCTATATATTGGTTTATGTGCTTATTTCATAGTCTTACAAACGCGTCCGAAAATTGATGGTGGTCGATAATTGATCGCTGACTCTACATGATGTGCTGGTCATTGCTCCACCCCAGCCAATGCCTGTAAGTGTAGTGACAAGGGCCATGTCGAAACTGCAGATTCTGGGCACCTCTGAGGAGACCGAGAAGTCTGGCATTCTAAAGCTGGCAGAAAGTGTGCAGGAGAATGTGCAAGCATTGTGGGAAGATAGTGGAAGGCTCAAAGAGCTACTGCGAAAACTATAAAACTGTAAAGTGACCAGTGACCAGCTGCACAACACTGCATTGTGTATTGCGAGAATAAGTTTCTGTTATCATTGTTGCACACACCAAATAAAGGTGCATACCAGCGCGAGTGCACTACAGGATATACGTACGAGGAATGCGCAGAGAGGCGCGTAATCCTGTAGCATGCGCAGTTGGACGGCGTGCGGAAGCGATCCGTTTGTTATAGTATTTCTCCGCATAAAAAAAAATAAACAAAGAAACATTTTCTCGAAGTATCGCTTCTGTACGTCGTTATAACACTGCATTGTAGTAGCTATCTACTAGCTGCACTGCAATACACAAAATTTCTCCAAGTAATGCAGTGTGCAGCTAGTAGTAGGTGTCCCCTCCCAGACTGGTCATGCTTCCCTCTCGAGCAGCCTAGGAGGCTTGAATCTTCGCCCCTGTCTGCCGGAGTGATGCCGACCTCCTTTGGCGATCACCATGTAGGTTGTGGGGGTAATGGGGATCGTATCCATCGTCAATGTTCTCAGCAGCACAGTAGCGCCCCGGAAGGAGTTGCCCATCTCTCTTGCCCCGCTCCCAATTTCGCCCCGCTGACATTTCCCTCCCTCGTCCAGCTGCGCTCGACGTCTCCGTCATTTCTATATACTCTGCAACAGCTTACCTTGAGTGGGGCAGCCAGTGTCCACGGACACACATTGAGAGTAGGAGAGGACAGGAAGATGGCTATGCACGCTGCCTCATGCCGCGTCCAGCCATTCAACAGACAGTCTTCAATAATACTGTAACTCCATCAGTGTCTGATCAAGTTTGGATCCTTAGCTAATACTCTCCGTCATCGCATTCTGTAACATTATTGGCGAGCGGGAGTGAGCCAACCTAGTCGTCGCAACGGACCAATTTTTCTATTTTATCGTTGGTACGTCGTGTAAATGCGCATGCGCGGCTTTGTACGCGCTTCTTTTTATCCGAAACTATTTCCAAGTTTTTTACACATTTTCACACACGCCGATCGATCTAGCCAGCTACAGAACTCTCCTCCATTCGACGGCATGTTTCGGTGACTGTATATACCTCTTCCCAGCTGCCTGGTGGACCACGACTGACGAGCTGAAAGCGTAAGGTAAGTATATACCGTTCTGCTCACCTGCTCGCCGTTCTGCCAATGTACAATACACATGTAACGGCGACAGGTAGATCTGTCTTGCTTCACGAAAGGAAAGCTGTGCGCTGACAGCACGTTATGCAGCCCGGACATCGCGGGCAAATCCCAAGTTGGGTCGCTCCCGCTCGCCAACAATGTTCAACATTTCCACTAGTTATAGAGCACAGAACAACACACCGCCCGCTTTTTGACAGCACAGCGCGGGGTATGAAATATCACGGGTGCGGATAGAACCATCCTAGGAAATTTTATCCCGGGGGGGGGGTCCGGGGGGATGACTACAACGGGCTGTGGGAGAGTCGTTCGTCCCTCTCCTAGTCGAGTCTCTTGGAGGCAGGAGCGATCTCGCTGGCAAAACCCTCCAGTATTGGTCGTCTCCTAGGGCAGCGGCTCCCTCCCGTCACCTCTTCGAACGGTGCGCTATTTGCCTTTGGAGAGGAAATACAACTCTGTGGCTACACCGTTGGCCAACGGCCCCCCCCCCGCAAATTTACAGTATAATTTTGTGCATTTCTGGCCTTTTTTGTTTTTTCTTTGTTTCTTTTGCCTTTCGTCTCTGTATGTGCTGTAAAAAAATATGTCACTGCATTGCAGTAATAATTCTGACAAGTGTTTGGGAATGAGGAATCTCAATCCACATAGTTTTTATCTTGCACTATATAAGCTGCACTGAAGTGCAGTGATGATTACGTAATCAAAAGGACACCTCTATTCACTGGACCATAAGGTGTGCGTACACGCTGGGCGTCCATAGGTTACAAGCCGAAATAATAGTATAACGTTATAGGCAGAAAAAATAATCCATTACAACTTGGATGGCCTTGCCGAAGATGAGCCCAGCTCTGCAAAGCATCGAGCTTCCTCACTAGTACCTGCACAAATGTCCAAAATCTTGACACAAAACGTGCATCAATGTGTTGCAAAAGGAAAGAAGGCAATTTGTGACCAGAGATCTGAATTGTTGCTGGTGTGATATATATAGGCTTGAAGCTGCCTCTTGGTTTTTAAATTCAGAATTATAGGAGGGTCACGCAGCATAGTTGTGTACATACGACAAGGCTATGTGCAGCTGAGCTCTAACTAGAGCATGCATGATAGTGGTGGCATGGGCGGCCAGGGAATGCATTTTGTTTGTTAACCCTTGCCTGCGCGCATGCGCAGCGAGGGTTATTGCAGTCGGTCTGTCTGTGTGTGTGTTTGGTATGGGTTAAGAAGAGAGAGGGGGAGAGTGTGGGAACGAGGTGTAGTGACAGAGACTGCTTGTCGGCGTCATCAAAGCACCGACCTCACCAGACATTACACTCACGGCTGTGCATGGAGTTACAAACCGCAGTGTGTGCTTCCACAGCTATTTGGTGCATGTTCTACTTACTGTCGTTACCAATTCCCCAAACTAACAGCTAGCAAACCCTGTCCCCTCTGCCCTGTTCGTCTGTCATCTATCTAATGTCCAGAGTGTATGTATCACTAACTGTTGAGTCACTTCTACTCTACTTGGGGGCATACATTGGGCAATATTGAGCTATTATTCTACTCTATGGTTTCTGTGTCATTTATATATTTGCAAGGGCACCTAAGTTATTGGAGTAATAGGGAAACTAGGAGAGCAAGCTAATATTAGAGAAGAACGGTATGTGTGTGTATATACTACATACATATACAAGCACAAGAGTAGGACATGGATGCCCAGCCTTGAGAACTGGGGACGGTGGGTTAAAGATCTTTGATGGCTAGCCAACTCTCCCCACACATCCAATGTCACAGACTCTCGCGTAAAATCTACAGCTTACAGTACTGTATTGAAGTAGTTACAATCAACATACCTTAGGCTCTCTGGGGGACTTGCAATCCTATGGTTCTACTGATGCACAGTGGGGTATTTATAGGGAGTTGTGATGTCATAGGTATGGAATTTCCTAAGGGGGAAGTGGGCTTGTTGCTAGGGTCCTGGGTGATGTATTTTACTCTAGTGATACTCACAAGTGTAAAAATGGTGTGTTGTGTGTGTGTGTGAGGCAAAACTGTTTTGGGATTTAGATGACATCTAGGGTGTTTAGGCAAACAGTTATGAGAAGACCAGGGTGTCTAGTCTGGTGATAATCACAGGTGTAAAACATGATGGTCTGCCTGTATTGAATAGGATCGAGATTGCTGGTGAAGTGAAAGCAGCTCACGCCCCACGCGCCTCAGCCTGAATCCGTTCGGTGAATGAGTCACTGAGGTAGTGTAGCTAGTAGCCATTGGCTGCTGAAATAAAGAATGAGGGTTATGTACTGTCAAGTGCTTTTCACTTTGCTGTAGTAGTAACTAGTATTGAACACGCATGTGCAAAAGAATGTGGACAAAAGATGAATAAAGTTCAATACAGGATAAGGTTCACAAAATGAGAGATAGGATATGTTAGCTATGGCTATATAAATGGTAAGATAAGTAAAGTTCAGTATAGTGAGCTCCTTTTTTATTTATATTGAATGGAGTGACTTTTTCTCGTTTAATGCTGTGGACAGTACCATCGACGGCATGCATTGTAAATGGTTTGGCCCTTAAGAGCGACGTTGAAGTTATCTCTGTGCAGTCTTTGGTCTCACATATGTTGAGCAAAATAGTCCCATATGCTCGAACATGAATCATTTCTTCAGATGTTGTTTTCACTGTAAAGTTGGCTGCAAGCAGATATTTCGCTTCAGCTAGGAATTGTACTGTGGTACGTTGTGCAATCTCGTCCTCGCCCTCAACTTTTACAACTCTGCATCTGCATTTAATGCACGATTTGAATGAACTGACTGATTCTACTGCAATGACTTTAACTGAAGGATCATCTGTTTTTGGATATTCCTCATTAGTAACATCCTTCAATGTTTGTTCCCCCCTTCCTGGTAGTAATGTATTGTTCACCTCGAAACTCGCGTAGAAGGAGATTTGATAGACGGTAACATTGGTGTTTTTTCAACTTTCCTACTTCTCCTTCCCAAAGTGTATCCTGTGTTCCATCTGAAATCATTAAATCTTGCTTTGATCATCCATCCAGTAGTTGTACTGGATCTTCAATGTGTAAAACTTTAGCTTCAACTGTGACTGTAGAATATTCTGTCATATCTTTGATGGTTGCAACTGAGTCAATTGGATTGCTAGTGGGAATGTCAAATGTTTTGTCTGCTTTCTTTACTGCAGTGGCTGAATTTAGCTTTACTTCCAGATTGTCGTTTT